GCCACCGTCCGGCAGAAACAAAAAATTTGCCTCCGCTCCGAACAGCGCCGCTGTCTAGCGTCCATTTTAACCGGAAGTGATCTTTCTACACTAGTGGTGCAATGCGCATATCATATTTTAGAAGAAAAAATCCTACTGAATGATTTAACCCTGGCCTTGCAGGCAAATGGCTAGTTACTATGCTACTGCTACTCTTATGAATATATCTGGTACATTTTAAAGAAGAAAAATCTGGTTGGGGATTGTTGACTAGAGTTGGTTTACGTTATGGCTGACCTCAGTGAGTCCTAAAGGGCTACTGTTTTAGGTATTAAGATGCACGTTGCGGCTGCAGTCATTGGGGTTGTGGCTAGTCACCACTTGATAATTGTCTAATTCTCAGAAACTTGGCGGCCACAATGAAACAGTCATTTTCTTCTGTCTACTTGGTGGTCTAGGGGTTCAACACACTGGGCTTTTATAAAACCTTACCAGGACTACAAATTTCTTCTGCTTGTTCTTTTCTTTCCCTGATTTCTTAGTCGAGAATCAAAAATTTATAAGGATGTTTTTTACAAAATCTTAAATTAGGAATGTCATGTTTTAAGATTTTTATGTGGTGAAAGGATTAAGGATATTTAAATTATATCTGCAGCAAGAAAGGTTTATGAGAAGACAAATTAGAAATATTCCAAGGGACAGAATATCATTGGCTTTGTTTGACATGTTTTGGTGTTGATTGTTTATAAACTATGTAACTGTCTAGTATGTAAGATTATTTGTGAATCATATAAATGGTTTTATTTTGTTAGACTGTGAGGATTGCAATGAAGAATATGCAGGTGATTGCCCCAAGCATGGACCTCTCCTTGTGGTTAATGATACTGAGGTAGGTAAAGTGTCAGTGTAACTCAAGGACCTTTTATTTAAAAAAAAAACATTTTTTAGGCATAATAGGTATATATTGCTATTCCCAGATTTTTATAGACCAGTAAGTGCTTAGTGTAGGCATATTCTCAGAATTCCATGGACAAAGAAGTGGAGAAGTATTGATATTTTAAAAGATCCAAACATCAAGGAAGACTGGCCAATAAACAGCATCTTGTCTGGGAATCTGAAATATTTTGGTTAAATCAAGCACCAAGGCGATTTGGAAAAAGTAATAGCAGAAGTCATGGTACCAGGACAGATAGGCAGGGGCCGACCAGCACGAAGATGGGCACAGGATATAAGTGGCCACTTGAAAATAAAAAGTACACGAGGCAGGAGAGCTGACAAGAGACTTTCTTTCAGGCAGGCCGTGATGAGGGCGACATTCTGCAAAGGACCTGCTACATGATGATGATGAAGTACTTAATGAGGCTGTAGTTAGTTTCATGTCAGCTGCCTTTACTGCGTCTACATTTGACCAATTTTGGTTGGTCTGGAGAGCGACTGGCCAAATCATGAGGATCGCTAGGCTCTCATACAGGAGACCCATGTTAAAATCATCGGTAAGGTCATGGATTTGCTTTTAAAATTAAACCTTAACTTGCACAGTCTGTGTTGACAGCACTAGCCTTAGGCCCTAAATCCTCGGGCTCTAAGATAACCTCTTTTTCTTTTCCCACCTGCCCCACAGAAGTGGTAAATACAGGCAGTAATTGACAGCTGGATCAACCTAGGAGCCTTTTGACACTGTTCAACCAATTGAATCTTATCACTGCTCATTGTTCTTCTTTGGTGCAAACTTCTAATGGAGCGGCCATGATCTGTCTGCAACAGAAGAAAGATGCGGAATTACAGTCACATTTTCATTGCAGTAGTATAACATTAAATTAGCGAGCACAGAAGTCATTATGGACAATGTTAGAAGAGTTATATCATAATTGTAGAGGATTTGTTTTACATTCCCTTGCTTCAGTTGAATTATCCTGTGTCGTTTTCTACCTTGAGGTTCATTGGTGCATATATCAATTGCCTCAGTCTGTATATTATCTCTCCACAATCTTATGGGTGTGCTCCATGGTCTTTTCATCTCTTTTGTATACACATTTTTTTTTTCTCTGTTATCTGCATTCTCTCAATGAACACCAGACATTGCAGTCTATTACCTTTCGTGGTGACAATAATTAGTGGTGATTTAAATGTCTTTGTTAGAATTTTCCTACATCCTTGTCACTGAATTATACTACATTCTTGTCACTGAATTATACTACATTTTTGTCACTGAATTATACTACATTCTTGTTACTGAATTATACTACATTCTTGTCACTGAATTATACTACATTCTTGTTACTGAATTACACTACATTCTTGTCACTGAATTGTACTACATTCTTGTTACTGAATTATACTACATTCTTGTCACTGAATTATACTACATTCTTGTTACTGAATTATACTTCATCCTTGTCACTGAATTATACTACATTCTTGTTACTGAATTATACTACATTCTTGTTACTGAATTATACCACATTCTTGTCACTGAATTATACTACATTCTTGTTACTGAATTATACTACATTCTTGTCACTGAATTATACTACATTCTTGTTACTGAATTATACTACATTCTTGTTACTGAATTATACTACATTCTTGTTACTGAATTATACTACATTCTTGTTACTGAATTATACTACATTCTTGTCACTGAATTATACTACATTCTTGTCACTGAATTATACTACATTCTTGTCACTGAATTATCCTAAATCCTTGTCACTGAATTGTCCTACATCCTTGTCACTGAATTATACCACATCCTTGTCACTGAATTATCCTACATCCTTGTCACTGAATTTTCCTACATCCTTGTCACTGAATTTTCCTACATCCTTGTCACTAAATTTTATTACATCCTTGTAACTGAATTTTTCTGCATCCTTGTCACTGAATTTTTCTGCATCCTTGTCACTGAATTATACTACATCCTTGTCACTCAGTTATCCTACATCCTTGTCACAATATTTTGGATACAATATTAACAGTTTCATTGTTAATTGTAGGCACCAGCAAACTGCCCAAGGGGTTCTGATCTGGGCTATAGCAGAGCAACATTGCCAGAAGGTCTTGTCATTAAAAAGTCCAGAATACCCAAAGCTGGTTTAGGGGTGTTTGCCTTAAAAGATTTCCCCATCCGTAGCAGATTTGGACCTTATCAAGGCAGGGAGGAGAGAAGTGAGGAAGTAGCTCAAGAGTCAGGATATTGTTGGCAGGTATGCAGTTTGGATGCGTTTGTTGTCTGTATCTTGTCATCGTTACTGTGTAATTTTTTCCTGAGCTGTTAACTGTACGATTTCAATATTGAGCTCATGTGCTCATCTCAGATGAGCTCAAGTCTGTATCATTTCAACATTGCTGCTCTGTCATTTCAACATATTTCATTTTTTTTTATTTTGTATTGATTCCCGGCACCATTTCAGCATTGTGACTTTTTAAAAAGAAAAAAATTATATATATATGCTTAAGGACTGCTTAAAAAAAAAATTTGGTTTGTAATTACTGTCCACAAATACTAATCTGTCATTACAGCTTCTTTAAAATATTAACTGTAAACATTAGTCATTCATATGTTGCTAATTAATTTAGGGTATACTGCATATTTTCGAATGTGTAGAAAAGTATCTTCTGCTGTTTTGTTTTGTTTTTAAATATTTTTTTATGTACTTAGACGATAGTATGCGGAAGAGCATAATCATCCTTATAGTCAGCAATTCGAGTGGTAATGATTATGATATGCCTGTAACTGGTTGTTTTCATTTCTTAAAGATTTGATGACTACATGAGTAATTTGTAGCATACCTGTCTGGTTTCATGAAAATCAGGTAATTCTTATCTTCAAGAATGCATTCTCTTGTCCTCATTTATTAATTAGACATTGAATATAAAACTAATCATTGCCTCATAATGTGAGGGTTCTGGAAGCCTCAGTTTGGGATAGGGAGGGGGGATGTCTGTCATAAACATGCTTATCGCCTTAATGGCAACAGCTCATTGGCAGCTCTATGACAATGATATCTATCCTAAACAGACTCAACACCTTAGAACACACACATTGGTAGTTACCGAAAATAGTAGGCAGTTAACCCTAGAGGTGGCTTGCAAACCCTGCCCTAGTCGACCCAAGTGCTTTAAAACTGCATCACACACTTGCCATCCAGTTATTCCAGGCATTAACTGGGTCCGAACCAACAGCCTCCAATTCAAGCTGTTTCCTGCCTGACTGCACAGCTCTATTGGGTGTGATCGGGGAGACCGAGCTGAGTCACCTGAATACAGTGCCCACAACATCATCATCTTTTCAAACTTACAAAAGCCCTTTTTGAACCATCTCACTAAGACACAGCTTAGTACCTGAGTGAAAACGACTAAACCCAATTCACTATCTCTCTATAACACAGATATTACACTGCCTAACTACAGCTCAAATTGTAATACTGTCAAGCTAACACGTTATCACAAACTAACTCGCTAACTTAAATAAGTTGGGGGGAAAAACTTAGTGTACTAAACACAGAACGTCTTGTCAAGCTTTCTCTGTGAACTCCCCGAAAACGCTTTCCATCTCCCTTTTTTGTCCAATCCACTGTCACCCTCGGGTAATTCAAATTTCTGTGAATCCTGGAGTGTTCACTAGTCCGTTCCATGTCCCATTAGGAAACTCCGGAGGCTGTTGACCGCATAGACGCGAATGAGTACTGCTCCTTGACTGTTATTTGCTGTCATCACCTACAGTCATCCCATAGTCACACAGGCTCTTGACAACGACCAATAGACCCACTGCCCCATAACAAGCATGCTGTAAAATGGAGTTAATTAAGAGTGTTGAAATTGGATGTGTTGAGCTGAAAAGTGGAGATTTTGCAGCCTAGCTGTGAACCACAGTGAAGAATATAAAGAGGGAGAACCCATCACCCTGACTTCAAAGTACTTTATGGTTTTGATTATTCTTTTTAAACATTATAAATTATTTATTTAAGACTTGAAAAGAGGTTTCTTCTTTGTAATGTTATTGCCTTTGTTGTGTACAGGTTTTAGAAGATGGAAGACACTCTTATTACTTGGATGGTAAAAAGCCCAGCGAGTCAAACTGGATGAGATTTGTGAACTGTTCTCGGTCTGAGGATGAGCAGAGTGTGACAGCCTACCAGTATAAGGGTGAAATCTATTTCAGGGCTCACAGGCACATCTTTGCTGGCAACGAGATTCTAGTAAGTGCTGAATTTTTCTTTTTTTCTGTCATGAGTATTCTCTGTCTCAGTTCCGGGCTTCATTTGCTGGATGGGTTTGACCCATTGTCTCTTAACTTTTGGGACTGGCCTATAATTGGTTGAACTCCTTATGCCTTGAGATAGATATTCCAGCTTATCGCAGCCAGTGTTTGAGTGTAAAAATTATAACACTGAGGCACAAGGAGTAAAACTAACAATTCACATTAGTGAGTTAAGGTAACAGCTGCCTGATGAAAAAAAGTAAGAAGGTTCACTGTCTTTAGACTAACAAATTAACTCATAACACATTACATCTGATTGAAAGCAGTCATCTTGTAAATGGAGAATTTGCTGAAATTTGATGTCTTGAGCCAAAAGGCATAGATATTGCAGCCTAGCTGTAAACCACAACACAGTGTGCTAAATTCTCTTTTGAAAGGTGAATGCAGAAAATGAGGATGACATGTATTACAAGATCAGTTTACTTGTTTATAGCTGAGGATTTAGTTTTATTTATGAAATGAAGAGACTGAAAACTAGTGCCTGGACTTATTTGGTGACACACATTTTAGTTCCCAGGTTGATCCAGCCTTTAATGGGTACCCGGGAAGTAAAGGTGAATATTGACCACATCACCCTTCCGGTGCTGATTGGTCTAATAAATGTGTGAGACTATCATCATAGGCTTGATGTGCCACTATTGTTTTAAAAAAAAGTTTTTTTTTTTTAGGTGATTGTAGTACTGAATGAGGGGAAGTCACTTAGTAAGTCACAAATGGTTGTTTAACTACAAATAAAAAGTAAAGATTATAACATCTTGAAAACCATTTATTTTTTACACATACTGTCCCTTTATTTATCAACAGATTTGCCACCAACATTGATGCACCTGTCCCATTGTTTTATCAATCCTTCCAAACCTGCTGCATAGAACTGTGCTCTGTTTTGTACACCACATTTTCGTTTTGCATTCAAATTCATTCATTGGCAAAATGTCCTCCCACCAAGGTGGGTTTTCGGTGGACCAAAAAGGTGGAAATAACTCGGGGCTAACTTGTGGCTGTAAGATGGATGTTCCAGAAGTTCCCACCCTAGATCGTTAATTTTCTTCTGAGTTAACCGAGCCGAATGTGATCTGACATTGTCATGAAGGAGCAGTACTCTAACCAGCAGACCTGGAGGTTTTAGCGCACCCTTGAAATTTTTTTTTTAACCAAGCTATGCGTCGCTTTACGGAACATGTGTCAGTAGAAACAGGAAACATTTCCTGATGAATGTCCCCTGCAGGCAGCCCTTTTGCCACCCCCCCCCCCCCCCTTCCCCTCCCTTCCCCAAAAAAACACAACAGCATGTTGTTCTTTGAGGGTACACTCTGCAAGTACAGTTGCTATTTTGTTTCTGTGTTGCAAATGCGCATGCAACGTCTAGCGCCACCTAACGAATGGAGACGTAACGTTCTATGGTGCTGTCACCGAATGACACCTTTAGAAATTACCAACTATATTTTCCTGCCATCCCATAACCATTTGTGGCTCACTTATTGACTTCCCCTCGTGATGAGCTTGAAGAGCTTAGAGGTAGCGGAGATATTTCTTAGATGCATGTTAGGGCTGCCTCAACTAACAATGATTGCCTGCAAAAATGCAATTGAAAGTTCTCCATGTGGGTTCCGGGGCTGCATTTTGGGGGAAAAAAATAATCTTGTGCATGTTGTAAAAGTGAACTAATTAGGGGTGTTTTCTTCAAAGTCAGACTGTTTGTCTGAGAGGCAAGGAACCGAAAGTTTGTTTACAACTGAAGCAGATCTGTAAATGCACATGCAGAAAGTTCTGGAATAAGACACAGGTCCAGAAATAGACAAACAACTAGGGCTTCCCACCAGAGTTTACAACCAGTGAGTGTGAAGAAGAAGAGAGCTAATGAAAGTAGAGCATTGTATGCAACTATAAAAACCCTTGAACACCCTCATGACCTGGCTCAAAGATGAAGGTTAGGGCAGCCATTTTTGAAATGCTAAGTGTTACAATCCATTCTTGTCTGACAAAACCAGCCTAGATTTTTCAAAGCATGTTCATCGAGTCATTAAGTATGCACTCGTCTGTGAACTTTTGAGTACCAATACATTCTAATGCACTTTTTACAGCCATAGTTCCCATTTGTATTTTGCTGGTTGTAACAGCAAATTTGCCATTTATCTCCTTGATGGGTTTTTCCTTGAGCTTACTGTGCATGTTCATGCACTTTGCTTGCCCCGAATTACTGATCCGTCCGTGTAATCTGTAGTATCCTCATTGTTTTCTTCAGTCAGTATTCTGACTAAAGTGTCCACACTGTCAGGAATCTGCTCTCTACAGATTATGTAAATTACCAGATACATGAACATGTTCATTTCTGTGGGTGATATCTTTAGGTCACAATTAAACATGTTGGTTTTAGAATTTATTAATGACTTGTGTTTCTTCAGGTTTATTACGGGGACAGTTATGCAAAAGAGCTGGGTATTCGAATACAAAGAGTTGGCAACTTTAGCAGGAAAACCAGTAATGAGAGTGTGAAAGAATCTGCTGTTTGTGAAGAACACAGTGAGTAACAATTATATGGACTGATTTATATCATGAATCTTATTATACTGTAAGTTACATTAAAAAAACGACTGACGCTCATCGGGCATATGATCATAGCAATTCCCACCCAGGGGATGTGAATATCTATACCAGTGGTCCTGTTCTGAGAGGCAGACCAAGTGTGTTGGGGAGGGGAGTTGATAGCAAATGTATTTGGTCATCCCTTAGTGCAACAAAGCCTGTCATATGATACAGCATCTAGTTTGAGAATGGAGGTGGAGGTAGTCATTGCAACTTTCTGCTGGCATGAGAACCAGTTTTACTCATATGTATATGTAACAGCATGTTGAGAAAAGTGGATACAGGTGTGCTCCATGCAGAATGGCAAGCATTGCTTCAGAAATCCCATGTAGTTAGCTTCCTTTGCATATTTTTTTCAGGTCATGCCAGTGTGTTGAGAAGCTTACAGGCAGATAGACCGTCTAGTTCTGCACAACATTTTTGTGAATTTATGCATGACAAGCTGGATGTTGTAAGGGCCCTTTTTGAGCAAGATGACAGTGCAGACACACAAATATGTTATCAGGGTCTGAGGAGAATAGTGCCATGTGGAATGACCAGGAAATCTTACTGGCGCTCAAAACCTCATGGGAAAGGCAAGACAGATATACAGTCATACTGTGTTACTGGTGCCATCAGTGCTCTCTAAGGGTGACTGGATTAAAAGTTACTGACTTAAAACAGATATTGCATTTACTGAAAAATGTGTTGTTTAATTAAAAATCGACATCATAGCATTTGTGTCATTCCCATGAGCTCTCCACCCTCCTCTTCAGCAGCAAGCGCGAAGCTCCAATTCCAAAAGTACTAGTAAGTCTGATTTGTATATCCATCCCACCAGATCCCCTGATCACACCTCAACACTATTCTCCTGAGACTGTGATGATTCATCTGTGCCTCCACACAGTTCACTCACCCGCACAGAGCCCTTGGAACATCTGTCTTGTCATGCGTCAACTTACAGCTAAGTTATGCAGAACTCGCTAGTCTATCTGCCTGTTTATTTCCCAAAACAACTTGGAGAAAATATCCAAAGGATGCTGACTACCGGGGACCTCTGAAGCGATTCTTGTCACTCTTCACGGAATATACCTGTCTCCACCTTTCTCAGCATGCTCTATGAGTCAATTACAATTATGACATATGTACATCTGGTTCACAAGCCAGCGGAAGACTACAGTGACAGCCTCCACCCGCGTTTCAAACTAGATGTTGTGGTGTCATGCCAGGCTTTGTTTCACTGAGCGACATCCATTTGCTCTTGTTAAGAACCCGCACGAACTTCTGCTGCCTTTCAATGCAGAGCCATCTGCAGAGATAATTACATCCCCTGGGCGAGAATTGTTATGAATGATTTGTTGATACATGTCTAATTGTGTTTTTAGCTTGCACCAACCAAGACCTTTTTTCTTTTAAGTCTGTGACTCTTAGCTCTGTCTAGGGCTTCATGTAAGATTTGTTTCTTGTCTGTGGCTACTATTAGATCTGACTTTGCTTACAGCACTTTGAGCCTATCTGTAATAGTCAGCAGTGCAAGAATATATCACATACATACTATCTGGGTATCTCTTGTATCCCAGAATTACCAGCATGGCTTAATTTTGTATGCCTTCAAGTTTATCAGCTGACTCTGATACACTAAAGGTTTAAAATCCATAATAACCAAGAGAATCAAATGCTGGAATATTGTGGACTACATTCTTTGTTCCGTGTCTTTTTTTGGTATTTCTTCACAGCTACCTGCACATGATTCCTGAAGGACAGGCTTGTGTCGCAAGTAATGATAAATAAATGCATTTTATCATGATATAAACCTGCAGTGTATTGATTTAAAAGACAGACTATTGTCTGTGTAGTTAACAGTTCTTCTTTGTTGTATCCATCAGAGGAGCATATGTTACCAGTCAACTTGTGCTATGTTATCATGTGCAGAACATTCTACAAAAAAGGGGCCCTCTGTAGTTAATGGCAGCCAAGGGCTAGATGATAACCAAAGGTCTCAACTGATTCCATCGGCAGAGAAAGGGCAAGACTTTCTGAATCTTGTGCTGAGATATCCCCAATGTCACTAGGGCAGCTATGGTAGAGAGTGCACAAATATATTTGTACATAGTGAAATATTGTGTGAAGTGTAATTGCCTTCCCAAATGCTGATTTAAGAATATCGAGTTGGAATAAAGCAAAACTAATAATAAAATGTATGTTATATAAGCTGTAAAGTATTGTGAATATCATTCTCACTGAACATTTGATGATTAGGAAAATGGGTTAAATATATGTAGCACTGGTCTTGAAGTCTCTGGCATTAATTATGGAAGATTTTTCTTAACGGCGAGCGGGTCACACTCACCATCACCATGGGCTGGGATTCCCCAT